CTCTCTCTCTCTGGTGTTTCTCTCTCTAGTCTCACTGGTCTCTCTTGTCACTTTCTCGTGTCTCTCTGGTCTCTCTCTCTCTGGTCTCTCTCTAGTGTCTCTATGGTGTCTCTCTGGTCTCTCTCTAGTGTCTCTATGGTGTCTCTCTGGTGTCTTTCTGGTCTCTCTCTCTCTGGTGTCTCTCTGGTGTCTCTCTCTAGTCTCACTGGTCTCTCTTGTAACTTTCTCGTGTCTCTCTGGTCTCTCTCTAGTGTCTCTATGGTGTCTCTCTGGTCTCTCTCTCTCTGGTGTCTCTCTGGTGTCTCTCTCTAGTCTCACTGGTCTCTCTTGTAACTTTCTCGTGTCTCTCTGGTCTCTCTCTAGTGTCTCTATGGTGTCTCTCTGGTCTCTCTCTCTCTGGTGTCTCTCTGGTCTCTCTCTCTCTGGTGTCTCTCTCTAGTCTCACTGGTCTCTCTTGTCACTTTCTCGTGTCTCTCTGGTCTCTCTCTTCTTTTGTTTGTCCATTAGACAGAGCGTTGTAAAACAGTGGTTCCGCCACTGCGGGGGTTACGAGATGATTTCCATAAAAAAAGTGGAACAAATATATAGTCCTTAAATATACGGGGCAGCAGCACATTTATCATGGGGATTGCAGGCTAAAAACTTAGGGAACACCTGTTTTAAAAGTAAATGTTATATTTCAGACCCCGACATGCTGTCTTCCTCTTATTAGAAAACATGTAATTCTTTCCATTCTATCCCCTGTGAGTCATGGATAAAGATGTAACAGAAGCCAGAAATACATGAAAAATAGTCATAGAAGCAAAGTGACAGAATCGAGACTCGAGCCATGAACGTTCACTCACGACAGTCAGACCTATTGTACATGTCTTTAGTGGTAGAGTAAACCAGAGCACCTGGAGGAAACCTCACAAAAACTATTACTTAACATGGGGGTGCAGTGGTACATAAATATGCAACTAAAATCTGGAACAGTCTTCCTTAAAATATCAGACAAGCTTCTATCATGATAATTGGAAAAAATGACAAACAAGGCGAGGGTCTGGGGTCATGTACCGGCACAGAAGACTTTTTATTGATTTTACAAAAATTTCTGCATGAATGTCATTTTATAGTGTACGATGGAGGACTCCAATCAGCAGCGGCCATGGACATAGATCTATTTTGCTGCAACAACTGAAGGATTGTATCTTCACTCTTCTTACTCGACTACTCTACACTCTACTCTACCTTGCCTTTCCATTATACTTTAGTATCTGGTGCCGTATTCTAGCAACTTACCAACAACAAACCGGTATCCGGGAAAATTCCTGGGTAACCATGGCTTCCAGCAGAACTCCATTTACTGTCAATTGGAACACTTTAGTGCCAGTTTGGCCTGGACCAAGAAGGACTAAAAGAAGGAATCGCTCCAATCAGGGTAGTAGAGTAGCTAGGAATAGAGTAGAGTAGAGTTGGGCCAAGTAAGGTTTGGAGGAAAAATGGCATACAAATAAACTTGCCTTGGCTATTGACTGGACTGACAGAAGATGTTGCAAAGCTTCCCATTGTGAGCAACACACATTTCAAAATTCAGCTGATTCCTCTTTTGTGTTGTTTTCTGCCGTGTTTATCCACGGTGTCCAGAAACACTCGGCATAAACATAAGGTGTGACATCACATGGATGGAATGCGCAAATGAAATCAGTCAGCAGCTCGATAATGACGGGGCGAGCCGTGGACGACAGGCAGATTTATGGAGAGGTTCGTGTCACAACATCTGAGCTCCAGTGAAAGACATGCAGAGTTATTAGAGCTCGCCCTGAAGCCTCTGGCCTCCTGCTTTGTGCTTTTAATGCCCTGGAAGCATGGGAGAAAATATATACTAACATGGCTAGAGATAAAGAGGATTTTATGATAATTATAATAATCTTAATTACATCTCTGGTCTCTTTTTGGCATCTCTCGCTGGTCTGTTCAATCTTTTTTTTTCTCTCTCTGGTCCCTCTCTTGTCTATCACTAGTCTCTCTCTGGTCCCTCTCTTGTCTATCACTAGTCTTTCTCTGGTCACTTTCTCTAGTCACTCTCTTATTCCTGGTCTGCAATGGCACATATATGCCCCAGGGCAGCTGTGGCTAAAGCAGTCGTGTATAGAATGAGCATCTGAAGCATCTTAAAGTGTTTAGACTAGCACTGTCTAAAACCCATGCATTATTATTACTTTTGTTTTTATTTTTTGTATTCATTTGTTTGTGTCAGAACGTCAAACTGTATTTTTTATTTTATTTTACAAATGTGGTGGTTTGTTTGTCACCTTTAGAATTAACAACAAAAACATTTCACATTATTATTTTCAGCGACATCTGGAGCTTTGATTCTGTGATACTGAGATGTCACTACTTTCGCAGCTGAAAACTATTTTTATATTGGCATAAGAATATAATTATTTACTGCAGACATTAAAAAGAAAAATGAGTGCTTCATCTGGTCTTTAAAGAGGCTAAAGACAGACAAGAGAGAGACCAGAAAGAGGTTGGAGAAAGAGACCAGAGAGAAAGACCAGAGAGAGACCAGACAGAGACCAGAGAGAAAGACCAGAGAGAGAGACCAGACAGAGACCAGACAGAGACCAGAGAAAGACCAGAGAGAGACCAGACAGAGACCAGAGAGAAAGACCAGAGAGAGACCAGACAGAGACCAGAGAAAGACCAGAGAAAGACCAGAGAGAGACCAGACAGAGACCAGAGAGAAAGACCAGAGAGAGACCAGACAGAGACCAGAGAAAGACCAGAGAGAGACCAGACAGAGACCAGAGAGAAAGACCAGAGAGAGACCAGAGAGAAAGACCAGAGAGAGACCAGACAGAGACCAGAGAGAGACCAGACAGAGACCAGAGAGAGACCAGACAGAGACCAGAGAGGGGGTTCGACAAGACATGTACTTACCCTGTCAATGTTCATTAAGGGCTTTTTATCTACTGGCATTCGGTCTTTATTAGGATTAGGTGCCGTTAATATTTTCTGTCCTCGTATTTACAGTAGAACTTTGTCCATAAATGCCACTGAACAGTTCTACATTCAGACAAACACATGCATCATTTGGCAGATTATTAAACCCGCGTCACACTGGTCCGAGTTCCTTGTGTAAAAATAACTGCCCTGCGTGAACAGCTTGTGCGTCCCGACTGGACACTTGGACTCTGTCTGTGCTTTGTCCCCTCTCACACGTCCTCCTGTGTCTCCTGCAGGGACCAGCTGTCAGACCGGCCTGATGCCTGCTCTAGTGCGCCCCCCGATGGCCAGCGCGCTGCAGCAGCCTTCTCTGGCCTCGCTGAAGCACTTTCTGCCCTTCCCCCTGGAGGCCGGCTCTGCGCTCAGCCTGTTCCCCGGCTTCAACACGGTGAGTTTGGACACTGCTCCTACTGCTGCTACTGATGCTGTTGATGTTACTACTGCTCCTCCTCATAGACTGTAAACAGATGGACAATGCTAACCCGCTAGTTCAATGAAGTCCGATAGGGAAAGGTTTGGCTCTGACTCCTTTTAACTTACATGTTAGCTCATATGGGTCAGTAACCATTTTTGTCACACTCAACATTCTGGGCTTAAAAATCAATGTTTTAGTGCTCTCTGTGATCCTAGTGTTTGTATTGCGTTATTGTCCATGTAAATCCAGATATGAGCCCAAAGACCTGACCAATCTGTCCGTTCTGTTGACAAATACGGAGTAGCGCCGCTTCTGATTGGCTCTTGGTAATTAGACTATTGCAACCAACAACATTCGCATATATTTGGCTCCTTATTCCTGTTCAGATAGCATGTTTGAGTTAGCTCTAATTGATCTCTTCCGCATTAAGGCTAACACGTGGTGATATCAGCACTCGCTCAGTCCACTGCTAATACACAGTCTATACTACTGCTGCTGCTGCTTCTGCTGCTGCTGCTGCTGCTGCTGCTACTACTGCTATTGTCCGTACCAGAAACTTCTGAGTGATGACGTCGGTCTGGTATGGACACAGCAATGCTATAAAGATCTCATTGTTCATTGCTCTTGTAATCAGGTTTGACTTGTGACAGCTGCAGATAACATGTAATCTGACAGCAGGTGAATAGCAATGAACAGACTACAGCTGAAGACATAATGATGACAGACAAAGTTGGGAGATGTTACCATACTTCTGCAGCAGGGGTCTCCAAATGCGTTTTTAGACTGAAGGTTGTATTTCCTCCCGAGCTATATGTGGAATTAAACGGTTTTAAGCCTGACCCTGAACATTGCGACTCAGCCTCTAAACGCTCTGTCTCCGACTGTGATACTACTTTGCTTTTTACTTTGTACACTCATGATCGCGTCTCTGACTCTGATTGGGCGGCACGGTGGCTCAGTGGATAGCACTCTCGCCTCTCAGCAACCAGGACCTTTCTGAGTGGAGTTTGCATGTTCTCCCAGTGTCTGCGTAGGTTTCCTCCGGGTACTCCGGTTTCCCCTACCACTAAAAACCTGTCCTCTGTAAGGAGTGAGAGGAGAAAAAAAATAATCATTGCAAACCGCTTTGAGACTCTGATCTGCAGTGAAAAGGCGGTATATAAATAAAGATTACTTACTACTACTACTACTACTCTGACCTGAACATCAAATACCCTGATGACACCACCATCAGTGATCATGATGAATCCTCTAATACAGAGCAAGTGATGTTCAGTGGAGTAAAGGAAACTTCCAGCTGAACGCATCCAAAACACTTGAGCTTATATTTGATTTTAGTCGTAACAGTTCTCACTGATTGAAATAGTTTTAATTGATCAACTTCACAGTGTCAATTGCACTTTTTATATTAATATATTAATCCTTTGACAACTGCACTTTTTATAGTTAGTTTGATTTCTGTAGTTTTAACCTTGTCTTGTGCACACTGGGGACTTTTGCAAATGTATTCCAATGTGGTTTTACTGCAAAGAGCAAATAAAATTAATCTGAATTTGCCCATGCCGTCAGAAGGGAAGTCCATGCCCTCTGTCCCCTAAACCTCCTCCATCTCCTCAGTCTCCTCCTCCTTCTCCTCAGCCTTCTCCTCCATCTCCTCCATCTCCTCCATCTCCTCAGTCTCCTCCTCCTTCTCCTCATCCTCCGTGTCCTCAGCCTCCTCAGTCCTCTGTCCCGTGATCAATGACCCCCATTTGCGTCTTGTCCTGCACGGAATCAGACCCGATTGCCTCAAAAGCCCTGTGGTGATGAAACCTGAAGAATCTAAAGTCAATGTTTGAAAACAATTACCCAGAGTTTGTTCAGACGGAGAATCATTCTTCAGGGACAGTGATGCAATGAGACATTAGATTTTGATTACAAACTAGACATGTACAAATATCTTTTACGGAGGGTAAACGCTGATACAAGTTATAAACTCTAGAAACCCTAACTATTTTCACAGCTTTGCATCATGTGGTTTTCTTTTGTCCTTTACTAACAGTTTTTGAGTTAATTGACTTTTGAAAAATATTCTTGTTATTAAAAGGGTCACACTGAGAAAAGTCCCTTATTATGCTTTTCTTCATGTTTCACAGTCAGTCCTATGCACATGTGTGATAATAATTTGAGTGATACACAATACAACACTCAAAACTTGTGAGATTATAGTCATCTCTTGTATAGAGGTGAAGTCACCTCGACTCAGACTGGCTGATCCAGAGTCTGCTCCTCTGCCTCTGTGAGCCCGCCTACCCCCGCCCCAGGTGACATAGCATCACGCTCTGAGTTGTTTATCACCGGTACATAGTCATTTCAGACCTGAGAATAAACTTTTTCCAACAATGACAATCCGTCACATTGAGCCCAAGGTCCTCGATGCACAATTAGACCCTAATTATTTAGTTTACAGAAGTATATAGTGAGTTAGCGTCACTACTTACAGAACGGGGGGGTCCGTCTTACGTCTTTTACCGTGGGAATAACGTGTTTCCAGATCAGCTTTTGAGTAAGTCCAGTTCCATTATCCCTGTAGTTCTGGAACAGTCTCAGTGAAGTGTCGCAGATGAACCGGTATTATAATAGATCCATGAGATGAACAGATGAAAAAATTTGAGCCGCTTTCTTCCTCTTTGGGCCAATCAGTGTGTCACATATTTACACCCATAACACACTTCATCCAAGTCGACGTGATCCAAACACTTTTAGTCGCTGACAAAAACAGAAAATCAGCAGCTCTATGTGGTGTCCGCGGGACCAGACCACAGATAGGCTAGACTCGGGAGCCGGACTTGGGAACTGGCTGTGTGCTCTGATTCGCTATTTCGATTTGTCAATCACCTGCTGACTTTTACTATTATTTTTATCATTTTTGAAAACAAACAGCATAATTATTGTGTATTATTAAAAAAACATTTTTGAAACAAAGCAAACGGGCTTGTGCGCATCATCAGAGTGGTAATCGTCACTGAAGTGGACCCGGGCGTTTCACTGCCTCTCGAGGCTGAAGGAGAAAGATTGCTCTCTAACGAAAGATTGACAGAATCAATGTAAAAACTACTCTGGGCATGTGTATGAAGGCCAAATAGTACTGTAATCATGTTTAAAGCAGAGAGAAGTCGAAAAGTGTAATATGGGCCCTTTAAAAACAAGGCCGTTCCTATCGGACCATGGGACGCTATTCTGTTATTTACAGGAAGTATTCATCCACAATAAAGTGTTTAAAATAGCCCCTCGACATAACTATGACCAGTACTGGAGGAGAACCGTTAAACCAATGGCGAGGGACCTTAAGGATTTGAATTAATTTTGGAAGTTTTTAAGCTAAAGCCTCACTGTTCAGAACAAGCTGAGGTAACCTGGGATTGTTTACAGCTGTTGACCTCATACTGTGCACTCTGTTTGTCCATTTAAATGAATGGGAAAATGAACCCATAAGCCCTCTTCCCACCCGCTCTACCTGGTTCTACTCTACTCTTCCCTACTCAGCTCGACTCTTCTCTACCTGGTTGTGTTTCCATTATGTTTTAGAATCTGGCACTGTATCCTAGTGACCTACCCACAACATGTCATTGTCCATGGAAATTCGGTGGTACCATTGGCTTCCAGCAGCACTGGCCAATCAAAAGACTCCCATTAGGAGTAGAGTAGAGTAGAGTAGAGCAGAGCAGAGCAAGACCAGGACCAGTACCAAGATCGAGACTAGGATTAAAACCAAGACCAGACCAAGACCAGGAGGAAGACCATGACAAACACCAGTGAAAACTAGTGATAGAAGATGTTTCAGAGCCAGAAATTCCTGTTGTGGATTATATGCACCCTTCATGCTGCAAATGTACACAAGACTAAACAGTGCAGCCAGCATCCCGACCTCCTGCCGGTTCTTGTGCCTGATGACAGAGACCAAATTACCAATGACCCTCTGGTCCCTCTGAAGTCCAGCCATCTGACCACGGACTACACCATCAGTCCTACTGCCCATGCTCACTCCAGCTCTAATATTAGATTGAGATGTGATCCTGACCAAACTCTGGCCTCGGATTAAAGACATAGTTGTGTCACAAGGGTTAGCTGAGGCGACCTGCCAGTGAAACAGGAGATGGAGTGGTACAGGGTTCATAGTAGATGGTAGTATTTATTATAATCGTGTCGGTTGTAAAACAAGATCTGGAGATGTTTCACGTTGGCATTTCATGGTTAGGTCTAGGAATAAGGACTGTGTTAAAAAGATTGATTGACAGCTGTACCAATGCAAAGCTAAATGTATTACCTTTGCCCCATTTCCACCAACCCACCTCTGCTATTCCCTGGTCTACTCTCTAATCCACCTTGTTGTGTTTCCATTAGCAAGCTACCCACAACAAACCAGTATCTAGGGAAATTCCCTGGCATCCATGACTTCCAGCAGCGGCCAATAACTTTTAGAACACTTTAGTACTAGCTCCACCTGGATTAACATTTGTTTTGGCCAAGCACACTTTTGGTACACTAAACTACACAAATTACTCTGGATGTAGCTGAGTGTAAACCAAACAGGCCTGTGGCATGCATACACACACCAGCAACCATGGAGAAGTGTAAAGGAGAGTCCAGATCGGAGGACTGTATACCAGCAACAATTACATGTATGTGTTTGTCCTCATGGTCTCTCTCTGGTCAGATGTATTTGTGTGTCCTCATGGTCTCTCTCTGGTCAGATTTATTTGTGTGTCCTCATGGTCTCTCTGGTCAGATTTATTTGTGTGTCCTCATGGTCTCTCTCTGGTCAGATTTATTTGTGTGTCCTCATGGTCTCTCTGGTCAGATTTATTTGTGTGTCCTCATGGTCTCTGAGGCTGGTTTGGTCTGACGCAAGACTTTATTAAAGAAAAAAGAACAACCTCCAATGCGCGTCGCTGCGAGAGTTTTTCCAATTCAATAGAAGGGTGCACTTTGTTAGGGACGTAAGTAGGGCTGAAACAACTAATCGATTAATCGACGACTAATCGATTATTGAAATAGTCGACAACTATTTTAGTAATCGATTAATCGTTTTATGGTTCACACGGACTCAAACAGAGCAAAAATGACATAAAAATGTAGTATTTTTGATTAAAACCGACTTTGTTTTTATAATTTCATGAATATCTGTCTGTCTCATCCAATCAGAGCAGAATTAGCACAAAGAGCCTGTTACAAACATTTACTTTAAGTTTACGCCATCAATACGTCCTCGAGTGTTGCCACTTTAACTTTTTGTGATGAAAAAAATATTTTTTTCTACACAATTCACAGCCAAGCGATTACTCGATTAATCGTAAAAATAATCGATAGATTAATTGATTACAAAATAATTGTTAGTTGCAGCTCTAGACGTAAGGTACAGCAGGTATTGGAGAAAACAGAAGCAGTCGCCCCCACTGGTGATTACTGGACATCCATCTGGAATCTCCAGGTCACAGCCCATACCAAGGGACATTTGGAACAGATACAAATTTGCCATTAACCATGAGTTAACTATGACCACAGTGCGTTAACTACGACCACAATGAATGCGATTGATTGTGATTAGATATATGAATCCTTTGACAGCACTATTATGGAAAATGTATATTGTCTTGACCCTGCCAGAACATATCCTTGCATTTCCAGCTACTCTCATACTCCCCTCCTGCCTCTTCATGCGCTGGTGTCAGATATATCAGCAGGTACTATTGCAGAGCCAAACAAAAGCATGAGTTATTGTTGACCACTTCACCAGAACAAAGCTCTCCGTCCTCAGAGTTATGGGGAGAAATTCCAATCTGACGCAAGGTTCAAATCAGTCATAAAACCCAAGGAGAACTGCCAAAACTCTAATCCAAAGTCAGAGAGTCAAAATTTCCTTCCTAGGGCAATGTAAGAAACAATAATGGAGAAAACTTACTTTTTTATTATTAGGAACTATTAATATAAACATGTGGCTGCCTCTTCTGTCTAAAGATCCAGTCTCAGTCCTGTACACAGCCTGCATACATGGACAATGCTAACCACTATAGCCCAATTCTTCTCTCTTCTCTCTCTCTCCTCTTCATCATCTCCTCTCCCCTCTCCTCTCCCCTCCATTCTCTCCTCTCCATCATCTCCTCTCCCCTTCCCCATCCTCACCCCTCTCCTCTCACTTTCCCCTCTCCTCGACCTGCTCTGTTCTCTCCCCCTTCAGGGCACCATAAACACCGTCTTCAACCCTCTCTGTGATCTTAGGGCCCGTGGTCCCGGTGGTTCCATTATACCAAGCCCCGGGGTCTCAGCGTGTCCACACCTGCGTGAACAAGGGGCCGATGTGAGTGCCGCCCGGGGGGGGGGACACGCGCTCGCTCCCTCCCTGCTAACGCCAGGGAACAAACACAACAGGCAGAAGGCATTAGTGCAGTCGGGCTGTGATTTACGACAGACTTGGACTTTTTAACTCGAGAAAAGAAACAGTAAATTCAGGTGAAAAAGCTGCTACGTAATTTAAATGTCAAGTCTTAAATAGGATTGAAGTGATTTGCAGCTTGGATGGTCGCAGATTGTGAGTTAATAACCCTCGCAAAAGTAAAGGGCAAAGTTAGGCAGAGCTGTGACACGGCAAACAGGCTTTCGATAGATTGAATTTTAAAGGCTTTTTGTACAGGATAAGACCCATTTCCACCGGACCTACTTGGCCCTACTCTACTCTACTCTACTCTACTCTACTCTACTCTACTGAGCCCTACTCTACTGCAATCAGAATACACTCATTGACTTTGTTTGACTGTATCAACATGTGTTTGTGATTGTAGCACCAAATTCCAGTCAGATCTTCACTAGCTAATGCGACTGAGAAAGTAAACATTTGTCTACTTCAGCTCCGTCATATCTGAATTGTTACAGGCGTGCTGTACCTCATTTTAAAGCTCAGAGCGGGCAACGTTTTGTAATCCAGGTTGTCAGCCTCTGGAAAGGTCTGGTGAACAACAGCGGACCTGTTATTGAAACGTTTTGACAAGTGATAGGAGTTTTCTTGAAGAGTGGAGCAGAAGTCTTGTATTGGTGCTTTTTCCAAGAATCTCTGGAACGTTTTTGGGAACTTGAAATTAACAATTGGTCTATTGATCTTGTGTCCATTAATTTCCAAACCAAAAATACACCAAATGATTATATATCTTGCCTACTTTTTGCAATAGTGACGTGTGTAATTTAAAATGGTGTTTATATGGAACAAACAACCAACCTCAGAGATAACGCTCTGTCCAAACGTTGTACATCCATGCAGAGACCTTATATTTAGTTATTAATTGTTTATTTGGTTGGGACAATGTTAATGAAGACGCTCATTCAACCCGAACTATTGTACATGTTTTTAGTGGTAGGGGAAACCGGAGCACTCAGAGGAAACCTACACATGGATGGGGAGAACATGCAAACGGTACACAGAAAGGCCCTGTCTGGAGGTGGAATCAAACTTTCTGTGAAGCACAAGCGCTAAACACTGTGCCACCGTGCCGTCATTAACAAAATAAAATAAGCTTATTTTTGCCATTCATACAAACATCATACATCATATAAAATGTGAAGTAACATTTTCATATGCACAATTTCTCCATATGGGTTAATGTGGAAGAGGCCAATTTGAATATAAGCTAGTTGGAGCCAATTTCCTTATTTGGACATATCTAATGCGTCGTAACGGGTAGACGTGTTGCTAAGACATTTGTCAAACTTTGTCCATGAGCACTTTCCTATTGAGTCCATGGTGAATCTGAAGGGATGGCCTGGTATGCTTCTTGAGAGGATGTAGAGTAAACACAGGGAGAACATGCAAACTCCAGACAGGGCTTTGATGCAGGTGCTACCCCTTGTGTTGCTTTTGTTTGACAAACGAAGTACATCTCTCGAGGATTTCTCTTGTAAAATCATGGGGGAGAAGTACTTGTGCTGCTGTGATGGTGAGTTTAGCCTCTGCGGTACTTTCTCATAACACGTGCAAAAATTGGAAGTGCTTTTATTTGCCTCAGGGGGAACTCGAACAGCTCTGCTCTTTTCACGCTGGTGTGAGGTTCTGCAGAAGACGTCACAGCCTTCAACCTTCTATGGCAGAGATTCTAATGAGATTACATGAAACTTGAATTGGGAACATTTCTAAATAATGTAAAGGAAGAAACATTCCTCAAATAGGGTTCGAGGTCATGTTCGAGGCTGTAAAACCCCTTACCACACACTTTATACACAGACCACCTGAACTCATGACTGCAACATAGATATCAGACCTGTTCTTTGTAGGGTTAGGGTCTTTCTGGTCCCTCTCTCTGGTTTCTCTTTCTGGTCTTTCTCTCTGGTCTCTCTCTAGTGTCTCTCTGGTCTCTCCCTGGTCTCTCTCTCTGGTCTCTCATTCTGGTCTTTCTCTCTGGTCTCACTCTTGCCTCTCTCTGGTCTCTCTCTAGTCTCTCTGGTCTTTCTCTCTGGTCTCTTCCTTGTCTCTTTCTGGTCTCTCTCTTGTCTTTTTCTGGTCTCTCGCTGGTCTCTCTCTTGTCTTTTTCTGGTCTCTCTCTGGTCTCTCTCTTGTCTTTTTCTGGTCTCTCTCTTGTCTTTTTCTGGTCTCACTCTGGTCTCTCTCTTGTCTTTTTCTGGTCTCTCTCTGGTCTTTCTCTTGTCTCTCTGGTCTTTCTCTTGTCTCTCTGGTCTTTCTCTCTGGTCTCTTCCTTGTCTCTTTCTGGTCTCACTCTGGTCTCTCTCTTGTCTTTTTCTGGTCTCTCGCTGGTCTCTCTCTTGTCTTTTTCTGGTCTCTCTCTGGTCTCTCTCTTGTCTTTTTCTGGTCTCACTCTGGTCTCTCTCTTGTCTTTTTCTGGTCTCACTCTGGTCTCTTGTCTTTTTCTGGTCTCACTCTGGTCTCTCTCTTGTCTTTTTCTGGTCTCTCTCTGGTCTTTCTCTTGTCTCTCTGGTCTCTCTCTTGTCTCTCTGGTCTCTCTCTGGTCTCTCTGGTCTCCCAGTAGCCCTCAGTCC